TTTGAGCCTTGTTGGGAGCTTCAAGGAGGAGTCATTTTCTGAGTTTTGAGCATTGGAGGTGAGACATGATCACCTCTTTGTCATTTTGATGATTTAAGCTTGTTTAATCGGTTAAAAAGTAAAACTTGGACCATTTGAATAAAGGAATGTGTTTCTGAGTTCATAACATGCTAATGAACATCTGTTGAGGGAGTCTTTGGACTCGAAATCACGTTTGGACACTTAAAGTTGGAATTGTGCAGAGGACAGTTCGAATTTCTGCATTCTGAAGGAAAAGTATTCGAATACTTTTCGGGTAGTATTCGAATACTTGTCCTCTGGTAATCGAATACTCCTTGCTGGAGTATTGAGATACTTTTCTGGGAAGAAAAGTATTCGGATACCTTGAAGAAGTATTCGAATACTGTATTGCAAGTGTTGAGAGAAAAATAGTTGTATGCCAAACCGTCTAAGTGTGAGTTTTGGCTATCTAAGGTGCAATTTTTGGGTCATGTGATTTCTGCTAATGATGTTGCGATGGACCTTGCAGGCTTGCAGAAGAGTGTATTTATGTTTTTTTATAATAATCTTCTTCCTTTTGTATATAAAGGAATATTTGTTTCAATTCATTTGTTGTGTTTGGATTTTAGAATTGGGATCATAATAGAGAGCGGATAAAAAAATCCCAAATGTATTTATGGATCTATACAATTATTGTAAGTTGTGTTAAGAATATTACCTAAGTGGCCATTTTTTTTTTTAAAAAAAAAAAGATGCTATTTCTACATTCCACCAATAATGAGCAGTACAAAATCATCCCTTTTAAAATATCTATCATTTAAGGTAATTGTACAAAGGTTAAATTCATTCAATAACCTCAATATCATAAAAACATAGCTTCCTTTTATAATATTTTAATATAAAACATTCAAAATATTATCATATCATTACCGCTTTATTTTATTTCATTTAATGATGCCAAGGCAGAATAATTAAATTAAAAATTTTAATATCTTCTTAAAAATTTTAAAGCAACAGCTATAATGAAATTAATAAGTGCACTCACTCCCTATTGTATGACTTTTTCAACATTAATAATTGTTGTAATTACTTAAACTTATGATCTTTTATCCACATTTATTATCCTTCACATAACGAAAATTATATGACTAATTAACAACACGCATAAAAATATTATGTGATAATTTTTTTTCTTATATAAAGAAGTATCATTTTAAAACAGTAGATAATATATTGAAACAATAAAATATTCAAACCACACTAATAAACATATGGGACAAAATATGTATATTTCTTGAAATCGTAATCTCTCTCTTAGTGTCACTGTATGCATGTGCACACCTTTTTTTCACATGTGATTGCTTCCTTCTTAAACATCGCTAGCTTATCCAACAGAAACCCCAATTCATTAGAATCAAACATTTCCAAACCATTTAATTAAGCTACCCCATACTATCTCTCAATGGGGATAGGACTAGTGTGTGGTGTAACATCTCGTTCCGGACCGGTTTGTTAACTCATATATGATACATCTATACAGTTTTATACCTGTACATATTCTAGACCTGATAACCAATGATCATGACTGATGATCATATCACTATTCGAATATGATATCATGTACCATTCCTGATAGATCCTTATGGACAGCATAACGGCTGTAAACTTGACTAATCCAGGGAATTGTGATCCCACTAAATAATCAACATCTGATAGACAACAATTCTAAACCATATAAATGAATAAACATCCATAAGATAGCTCCACACCGGTACAGATATGAACCTCTATAATGACATACTTACTTACACTTAATTCGTACATATAATGTTCTACAAACCTTTTAATACGATAATCCTGATGACAACATAAATATGTCTACATACATAACCAAAATGTCTAAACATCCATCATCCTGATATATGTATCCCTGTAACACTTTGCACTGGTCCCTCGCCCTTTGAAGGCTCTCTGCTATTGATGTACCTGTAATTTAAATTACAGTCCAACGATGGGGTGAGAAATGAATCCCAATATGACTATGGGTTTATGGAGCAGTCTCCACTCAATAGTTCACTTACTGCATGAAAGGTCAGATAACATAGCATAACATACATCATATATTTCAACATACAATATATAATTCAACATATACAAACATATCTAGTGACTATACTCTAGGGCTATATCCCGCATTAGGAGAATCTAAAATATACTTATAATTATCACGGGCTGTACTCCAGGGCCATGTCCTACATTAAGAGTGACATTATATACTTTCCGGCACCATGAGTCCGACATATGGAATCTATTTCCCAGTATGGATCTGACATATGGAAATTTACTTCCCGGAACCATGAGTTTGACGTATGGAAGTCATACACATAATTTACAATCTATACATCACATAATAACATAACAAATCACATCACAACATATCACATTCCAATACATCATATCACAATATACCCATAAGCTACATGAGTGCAACTATATTATTATCTAACGTACAGTCACACAATTATAAAACCAAAGTCCTAACAGATCGTGGTGGAACAACATAGGTAAGAAAACCCTTAAACCGGAAGCTTACCTCTCGAAGCTTCTATATCACGCTTACTTGAAATACAAGAAAGCTAATCCAAATCATGTGAACCCTGATCTTGAACCACAATATCACCCGATTCATATCATATTACACTACTTGCTAACTTGATATACATGACAATTTTATTATTGACAATTCATGCTCATACCACAAGTCAGGCCTAATAACCCTTAACTTGACATTTGTTCACATAATGTTAAACCAACATAAACATATTGACAATGATAAGTTTAACCCTTGCAACCTACTTGACATATACTCAAAATAGGTTTCTAGGTTTCACTGTTAACTAATTAGGTTTCCAACCTAATTACCCACTGTATAACCAAATTACCTACATATAGATATCTTCACTTATTTCTTTACAATTCCAACTCATTACTCTTTGTACAATCCATCTCCATTTCACTTATTAAATATGATTTCACATGCAAACATGATTCAACAACTCATTCCCTAATCAAAACCATGATGGCCTAAACATATATATATGTTTCATATAATTCTTTTACACCTTTAATCTTTATTCCAATCACCTTTTACTTACATTTTAAGCATGTTTCCACACACTAGCATCAACTTACCAATCCCTAATCATGATTCCTCAGTAACATGACATTAAAACAACTTCTTAGACAATTAATCTAAGCATGGCCGAAATCATCACATAGGTTTCCAGCTTTGACAGTCTTCACCAATTAATTCACGAAAACTTCATTTCTTATCCGATTGCCCTGAATTTTTGATATGTTATACTAGACATGTGTACCTTTAATTTGCAAAAAAAACTCAATTTGGAGTTCTACAACTCCATATATAAATTTTCCAAGACAGGGCAGATTTGCCACCTATTAGGGTTCCACAAATTTTCAACAACTTCCAATGATTCTTACTTGCTTCTTTCAACTCCATAACCACTAAATACCATCAATACACATTAAAAAATATCTTAAACATATGATACAACATCATTCTTTTTCATCCATATTCAAGAAAAAACTTTAGAATTATAACTTGAAAACTAACCGTTTAAACTTTAATTTTTCAATTAATTCGATTATCAATTTTTCGATTATAGATTAATGAACACAACTATTAATAAACTTACGGACCGTTTTGGGAAAGTAACAAAGGAGCAGTTCCACCGCAAGTATTTAGATATACCAGTGCCATTTATAAAGTCGGTATGTAACAGTAGCACATACTTTTTTTTTTTTAATTGTCACATTAATATTTGGGCACAATAAACCATGTGTAAGTCGATCTTAGACAATTAGCTCCAATGAAATAGAAAACGTGTTTGATTAAACGATAGGAGCAGTATAAGGATAACCATGAACATGATATGCTTCACCATCAATTGATGTGACATTCGTTAAAATATTATAATTTAATGGTATTATAATTTGAAAATGATATAGAATTTTTGTCTTATTTCCATCGGGCAATAGTGGTTTTTGAGATAATACATATCACCTTGACTCAGCGTACAAAAATATTAGATTCAATCAATCTTCACAAAACCAGAAGGCATGGTAAAATACAAATTCTGAAGCTTATATGCGTATTTAAACTCTTCGACTAATTTACACAATTTATCATATTTTTTTATAAGAGCAGAATATATTTACCATCGAAAAAATGTATCACATTTACAACCAACCAATCACTGTTAATTTCAAATTATAACCGTTAGATTGAGAAAAATTAGTGATAATTAAATTAGTTGTAAAAATTATAAACTTTTTTGTGGTAAATATATCCTTCCTTTTTTTTAATATTACAAATGCTAGTTATGTGCTTATTTTTTTTATTGTATTTGAACCTATGCTCCTAATTTATTCAAAAACATTTCTTTTTGAAAGACAACTCATGAGATTTGGAACACCATCAACAGCAAGAGCATTAGCAAAACACGACTCAGAAGACGAAAAGTAAAGGTGGACTTTGATTTGACTCTAACTAATTTTTTTATTTTTATTTTATAAATCGAATCGAACTGATTTAAATCAGTTCTATTCAAAGAACCAAACTATTTCATTTAATCAAATCTCGTTCAAAACTAGCTAAGAACTTGTTCATGTTTCGAAAGCAATTCATAGTTTATAACCGATTCCAAACCAATTCGGATACACAAACTTGATCCAAACTGAATTTGAACCGATATCAAGTCGATTTTTCAAACCCGACTCTTTTGGTATGATTTATTTTTTAAACTGATTTATAAAATCAATTTGATTCTCAAAACTGATTCAGAAAAATGCATTTCCACCGCCCCAAATTTGAAACAATAATAGCATGGACACCTTTAACTATCAATAATATTGATCACTATTCTCACTTTAATAATGTAATAACAGAGCTTCAGTTTTATATTATTGTAAGAGACTAAAGTGGGGACCGTGTTTTTTGTTAGGGACTAAAAAAGGTATTTACTCGTTCTATAAATAGCCTTCATTATTAGCAGTCAATCCCCAACTAATCATTTACACTTTTTTTTTAGTAACAGAAATTTTAGTTTCATAAACTTTCGATAAGCACAAATGGTATACAACTTGGTGGCCAAAATGACAACACAAGGGTTATAAAATGAAGCAAAAAACTAAGTTCTCAACTAGCAGTACCCTGACTCTTGCTTTAATGGATAGACTCTAGACATTGCTTGGCTCGATGAACTTTGGACTGGAGGTAAAAACTACCATTCTTTGCATTTTTCTCAAACAAAGTGTCATATTTCTGCAAGGAAGAAATGTTTTTAGGCAAATCATTGAAACAATTAATGGGTCGTAACCACAAAATAGAGTACTAACCCTCGCAATCTCCTTCCAGGGAGTTTCCTCAGTAACACCAAGAACCTGCCGAGCCTCTTGCTCTGTCATCACTTTGCCAGCTCTGCGAATAGTATTTTGTATCGTTTCTTGTGCAACACCATTTTTTGAGGCATCTGGAACAACATAATGTTGAGAAAATGAGAACTCAATACAAGTTAATATTCTGTTATTAACAGAGTTAGGTCCTAATTCCCTCCTACCAACCCTCTTATTCTTGCTAACCTAGATCTTTCTAATTCGGGCCTCTGCTTATCAAAAATTTTGCCAACTATAAAGGAATGATGATAAGTCACACCATAAAGCTACAGAAGCAAGTGATATAACAGATGTTAAGGAAGGAGACTAGTCTATCAAAAAACAGTTTGGTTACTGCCTATAAGATACTACTACGTTGATCCATCTGCAGCGAATGATCATAGAGTGTTGCCACAGTAGGAGGCAAGATCTTTACAGTTCATACATTATCTATAGATTATAAAAAAGCCTGGAATAAAATCCCTAATAAGATTCCTCAAGACTTTTGCATCATAAGGGAGTATAGCAGATATTCAAACGAACATGGATACGTTTGAGGCAATGACATCTTCCAACATTTGGTGGTGTAAGAAAGGGGTTTCCAATACAAATAGGTGTATGGAGACCAAGGAAATACTTAAAGAGACAATAGTGATTCCAGTTGAGTGGATCAGAGGGCAAAGGGATTGATTATGATGTCACACATTGTACCCAAGTACAAGACAGATAGATGAAGATGGAAGAAACCTAAAATATCTTGGAGACCATAGTGCCCAAGAAATTGAAGAGAAAGTTTTACCAAACTTCAATTAGATCTGCAATGTTGTATGGAGAATGTTGGGTGGTGAATAGTAATCAGATTAAAAGTTTTAAGGTCAAAGAAATAATGGGTAAATGGGCACCGTAGAATAGATAACATTAGGACAGATCATAAGGAAGAAAGTTGGAATGGTTTCTATAGAGGAAAAATTACATATAACTGTTAAAGACGGTTTGTTCACACAAAACAACACAAAAGCCCCAATAAGTTGTGAATTTATAAACTATTGTGGTTTCATCCTTTAAAGCCAGGTAGGGGGAGATGCAAAAATGAAATGGTAGGAGAATATTAAAGAGGGTTCAGGTAAATGTAGCTGAATCTATGATACAAAATCAAGTACAGTGGCTTACTAGAATCCATGTAGCTGATTCTATCAAGTCGAAATAAGGTTTGATTGATATTTTGTATAAAAGCAGAATGATTACGAGAACGAAGGGAAGTGCAAAGGAGGAGGATGAGAAATCCCTCCTAGAGGTTAAAAAAAAAAGTGCAAAACCAAGTAGAAGAAGAAGAAATGAAAATATCTCTCTGATAAAAAGGAAGTTCCTTGGAAGGTTTATGAAAGGAGGCGTCATGCTGGATTACAGCCAAGTCAGAGTGCTAAAATTGGTTAATTATTTATCCCTTGCTGACGTGATTGTGCAAGAAAAAGTGGAGAATCAGGGAGGATCTTTTCTGTTATTTGTTTTGGGGATATTTGGTATTGAATAATTGGTTATACCTTGGGAGAGACGAGAGACACTCTCTGGGTATTTTGATTCCTTTTCTGTTATTGTTTCCTTTTATTGCATTTCCCTTCAGTCATTTTCAATTCTGGTGTAAGGATCCTTATTATATTAATACAGAATTTCCAGCTTTTGTAGTGTTTCTTTTTTATTTTCCCTTCTGTTACTTGGTTGAACCTATCACTCTCCAACTTGGATATACATATAAATGGGATATAACCCAAATAGAAGCCATGTAAACTGCTGTCTCATAAAACATGAGAAAGAAGATACGTCTGGTTGAATATTATGTCATTTTGTTTCATCCACAAGTACCAAATCCCTACCGACAAAGCACAATGCCAAAGGGCTTTACACTCCTTCCAACAAAAATGCTATACTATTACTGATTCCAAAGCTTCCAAGCAACTTAACAATACAAAAGGAGATGATTAATACTCTCTGAACTTCAACAACACAAACCACAAACATCAAGAGAAATAGTCATGCAAGGTTTGAGTCCAGAATACCACTTGTATTAATTCTAATAAGTACTACAATTCAAATAAAAGTTTTAACCTTAAATAAACCTCTTAAAGAATCAAAAGGTAAAGTATACTATCATGCGTGAATTTATCAAATCTTATTATACAGATTTCAGATGAGAAACTGTCATTTTATTCAATAAAAATTGGGATGCCCAGGACCTGATTCAGCTCTTGGGGTTGGTAACATGAAGATCAGAATTATGGGTGTATTTAATAGTTCCAAATAAAAAGGGAATTGGTCTATGATCAACTCAGTAACATAACAAGGTCAGCAACCTCTATTATTGAGGTTTCATTAAAATGAATGTTATTTAAAAACGCCCTAAAATGGAAATTTTATAAAACATCTTGTTGAGATATATAAAAACATTAATGTAGCCTCATCCAAGAACTTAATCTTTTGGGTTAAATTAGTTCTTTACATGGTATCAGAGCCTTGGTGTATCGGGTTCGACCCTCACCGCCCCCGTGGAATTTCTTTCTTCGCATAGGTAGGTGGGCCTGTACATTGTCCACTCTTCAAGCCAAGTGGACTCTCGTGTGAGGGGGCGTGTTGAGATATATAAAACCATTAATGTAGCCTCACCCAATAGCTTAAGCTTTTGGGTTGAATTGATTCTTTACACATCTGAACCCTGGAGAGTGTAAAATAAATAAACAAGGTGCTGATGCAAATTGGAAAGTTCAAAAAAGGGTAGAAAAGAATCAGATAAGACCAAATCAATGTAATGGTTCTCCCAAAATGTAAAAGAAGAACATACCTCTATAACGTAGAGTATGCAATGAGAAAAAGGATATAAATAAGAGATGAATTTCCGGAGACTTGCATGACTGTATGAGTACCATTAATGGTGGTTTTTTCATCCAACCATTCTGGTAAGCATCATAAATAAATATTGTTAATTACCTTGTGCCAAAGGGAATGTTCTTTAAAAGGAAATCACCATGATCATTTATCCCAATAGAGCAATGCTCTTCAACAACAACTTACCATAACCCAACACCCCATCCTTTTTGGACTTGCAACAAACTTCTAAATAATCATGCGATGCCTCTTTCAATCCAAACTCCAGATGAAAAGTCTATTAGAAATCACCTATAAACAATATTGGGCAGAAGTTTTGATAATTAAGGATATTATGTCTAGGTTCTTTGTATCGTGCAGATCCTCTATTTACAATATTGTACTTCCTTGTATTGTTAGCTTAATTATTTTAGACCGAAGAATCCAAACAACAAAGAATACATATATTTCCTTGTTTCTCCATTTGCATATAGACAACAGCATATACATGATTTGGTGCTTGAAAATAATTTAAGCAAAATTTGCATATGGTCAAGGAATTAAGGAAACAAACAATAATTAAACCAAACATCTAGAAATCACAGAATTGAATAGAAATCACACAAACAATTATGTTTTGCCACATAAATTGTAAATCTATCCGCAGACGTAAATTCGGAAAGCTTACTAGAAAGCGCTTGACGATATGCTAGAACAACTCCTCTTGCCAAGATTCCTCCACCCATAACAATCAAGTTCGCCAGAATCTTTGCAGCCTGCACAAACAATTGAGTTAAAGTTTCTCTAAGGAACAAAGAAATTCCATAAAATTTATTGAACAAAGACAATTTACAGATAGCAGATTCTAACTACTTCTAAGACCACCTCCTCAATCAATACTTTTCTCTTTCATTTTTTACTTTCCTTTGAGCACACACGTCAAAAAGTTATTGCTATGTCTCAAACCTATGACACCCCAACAAACTAAGCCATACCCAAATAACATTCATAACATAATTAGACACAAATGGCATGCTCAGGGCTATAATTCAAAGAAGCACAAGCTAAACTTCTGGATATTATAAGCTAAACTCCCAGTAACAACTTTTTCCTCCAGAATCAATCTAGGTTGGCCAAACAATACAAGAGAAACACCCTCTTAAAATTTGTCATCATTGTTCAGTAGTGTAGTGGCATTTCATGTTTTTACTGAATGGGCACCTAACATATTCATTTCCCTCGAGAGCCAGACAACAAAATTGATAAGAACAAAGAATAAATGCACGTATGAAGCTTACCATAGCTTGAGAATTAACAAAATGCCCCTGAAATCCAAAAGCTTGGATTTTTCTTCTATCTGAATCAGAAATTTTAGGGTTATGCGACCCAACGAAGAGTGACCGTCTGCAACAAGAACAACAACAACCTCGTATTATCCCCGAGAAGAAAAGGAAAAGATGGCGGCAACTGCGGACGCTATTGTCCCCGAGAAGGCAAGGAAAAGATGCTACGGTTCCAATATGGGAATTGTAGGCCTATTCCTCTTCCCCACGCAATCAAAAAAACAATATTTGGAAAATTTTAGAAATGGGACAATTATTTAATAATAATAATAATAATAATAACTTCTGTTAATAATAAAAATTTGGAAGACAAGTATTTTTTTTAACTTAATTTGTTGTGTTGGATTTTAGAATTGGGATCATAAATCATAATATAGAACGGATATAAAAAAAAAAAAAAAAAAAAAATCCCAAACCTATTTATGGATCCATACAATTATTGTGTTAAGAATCTTACCTAAAAGACTTTTTTAAGAGGAGGCTATTTCTATATTCCATAAATATTGAGCAGTGCAAAATTGTCCCTTTTAATATATCTATCATTTAAGGTAATTGCACAAGGATTAAAATTATTCAATAACCTCAATATCATAAAAACCATAGTTTCCTTTAAAATCTTTATCACGCCATTATTACTTTTTTTTATTTCATTTAATGATACCAAGACATAATAATAAAATAAAAATACATAAATAAATTATTAGGATTCGTTTAGTGATAAAGATTTGAATACTTTACATGAATTTATAGGTTCAAACTTTAGTGGTACTCTTTTATTGGATAGTTTCTATTTAAATTACTAAGTGCACTCACTCTCTATTGTATGACTTTTTTCAACATTGATAATTGTTGCAATTACTTAAACTTATGATCTTTTATCCATTATTGTTATCCTTCACGTAACGAAAATTATATGACTAATTAACAACGCGGATAAAATATTATGTGATAAAAAAATTTCTTATATAAAGAAGTATCATTTTAAAACAGTAGATAAGAAATTGAAACAATAAAATTTTCAATTGAATTAGATAGCAGAAGCCATATATGATTGAATTTTGAATTGTCTGTGCTTATTATCATAAGAAAAGTAATGTATCCGGATTTTTTTTTCTTTGTTCAGAATTTATATTTATAGTTAATTAAGACAAGGTGTCACCGTTAAATGCAACTAGAATGTTATTTACTTAAAAAAAAAATAAGAAGAAAGAAAGGGTAATGTTTATCAAACAAAATTCCCTCCCTATTGTATGATTTTTTTTAAAACATTAATAGTTGTTGCAATGAGTTAAACTCATGATCTTTTATCCAGATTTTTTATCCTTACAATGATCTCTTTTTATTAATAAAAAATGGATTTCATTCACCTTCATCTAAAATCCTTTATAAATAAAGGGTTGAGCCCATACATCATACATGTATATTTCTTCAAATCATAACATTTGCTGTACACGTAGACACTTTTTTTTTGCGGCTAGCTTATATATTCAAAAGAAACCCTCATCCACTAGAATCAAACACTTCCCAACCATTTAATTAAGCTACCCTCACACAACAAAAATCATAAGACTAATTAACAACATGCATAAAAAAAACAATTCTAATGAACATTTTTTTTTTTTTTTTGTGTGTACTTATTTGTTAAAAAATAAATAAATAACAAAGAACTTGAAACAAAATATTCAATTAAATTAAATAGCAAAAACCAGATTCATATCATTTCAATAATTAATCTCTCTTCACATTGCACATTGCACATTGCACACCACAATTCCTTTCTCCTCTGGCTGACACACATATATATATATATAAGAACCAAGTTTATTCATCAGTGGGAAGGTTGTTTGTTGCTAGAAAAGCAATTTTGCTAAGCAACATAATCTCACTGTTAATAGAAGCAATAGTAGGGTTGTTAATCTTCTCTGCAGCCAAGGCAGTATCACAAGTAAAAGGTCCATCACCAGCAACTTTAGCATCATAGTTAGCAGTTAAACCATCCTCTTTTATCTCACCCAATGAACTTTTGAATGAACCAACCACACCATCATAAAAGGTAGTTGCACATTGTTTGATAGCTGGTGAAGGGTTTGTCTTCATCAGTTCCTTCAAGTATTTTTGAGCTTCTGTTCCCTTCTTCAATGCCATCTGCAAGATGAGCTTTGAGAGTTCAACATTGTTTTTCGCCGAGGCGATTTTAGGTTCTGCTTTCAGAATTTGCAGGCAGCGAGCACTGTCCTCCATAGCCTCCTTGCATAGTGATTCACATAACTTGGAGCCTGATGCTGCTTGAGAAATGAGGATCAAGGAAAGGGTGAACAACAAGGTTGTTGAAAGGGTTGAGGAATTCATTTTCTTCTTGTGTAAGAAAAGTGGTGAATTCAATATCCCTTATGTGTTTGAGGAGGAGAGGTTGGATTGTTGAGAATTATGGAGTTCTTTATATATAGTCTATGAAAGTTTTTAATTTTAGGCTAATCGGGTTATTTTTAGTAATGTATATATATATATATAAATGGTTGGTTTAGGTGCATTGATATTACATGTCTTTGCTATTTTTGTTTATGGACCTGTTTCAATTTTTAGCATTGAATTCTTTGAGGTAAGGAAACATGTTTCGGTGTTTACTAATTGTGAGAAATTAATTCAGAATCCCTACGAAGGCTCTAATCCTTTTTTTAAGGGGATATTTGCCACCCCTTTTATCAATTTTAGTAAACTCATTGTTGTGGTCAAATGTGATGGAAGCTTATGCTAGTTAAGCGACAATTACGTATTATTTTAATAGTAGCTGGAATTAGTTAGTATAGTTGTAATAGAAGAATGTTTAAATGGTAGTTTGGAAGAGTTGCCATGTGGAAATATTATCATGTGAAAAGTAGATGGACATATAAATGGTCAAGTACATAGGAAAATATATTTTAATTATTCACCAAGATTTTTTAAATGATATAATCATATTAATAAAAGACAGAGAGAGAATTAATTATATTCAATTGAAGAGGATCGTGATGAATTTGTAAACTAGTAGAGTCTATGAAAGAGATGACCGTGAGAAATGAAAGATCATTGTGCACAAAGAGAAGACTTGTAACCAAAAGAATAGTGTGTGTGCATAGTGACATTAAAAAAGAGTAGGATTTAAAAGGTGTGTCCCTATAAGATTTAATCCTTTATTTTTAAAAATGGGTTTACCTAGAAACGTGAGAGTTTGGATAGAAATCAAACTCTTAATGGATGACTTGCCTATGAGATGGGTCCGGAACAAACTCCTATCACTAGCCACGTTCACGTATTATGTATAGCTACTATAAAAAGGGTCATCCCTGTATGTGAATGGTTAAGTCAAAGTTTCTCTTCTATCTTCTTTCTCGTTCACGAGTTCCAGAAATGGTTCCAATCACCCTTACATAAAAGGCATAATGTGAAGGATAGGGTGAAAGAGGCAACCATTCAGCCACAAATTTTGCCCAGTTCATTGACTTCATAAGCTACATAACTCAAGATCTCAAGCTCCTTAAAAGTTCCCAAACGCAAACCTTCATTGGTGAGGTCAGGATTTTATCTTCATGGTTGAACTAGAGATCAAGACTTTAAGCTGCTTGCCCAAATGAAATATAGCACGACATCTTGAGCCATTATTCATTTTCTTTTCAAACAAGAAGAAGAAACCAATAGCAAGATATTCTCAATCAACAAAAGAAATCACCCAAAGATATAGATGTTCTCCAATCTGTTGTATCAAATAAAATACGATAGTTCTCCATGATCAAGAGAAGAATAAACCAATATAAATTATAAGCTCAGTAGCAAGAACAACAGTAGCAAGAACAAGCCAATAAAGTAAGAGAGGAACCAGTTTTGACAGTACCTGAAACGTAGTACGAAGAGAAATTTTTTAGCATCACAACTGGTTATTTACGCAAAGAATAAAGCCAAGTAAAGATGCAGTGCACATACTAGATTGTAGCAAATCTTTTTTTTTTTTTTTAAAAAAAGACACTATTCCTTAGTCTCTGGAGCAATAACACACATTTCTATTCTTTCCAAAAGAGCTAAAATTACCAATAAAATGATCAAATAAGTTTTTATACTTAAACTTCAATCAATTCAATTCCCATTCCTATAAAGGTAAACTATGATCAAGGAAGCATTTCCTTCTCTATCTTTAATATCAAAATAACCCATCATCTAACGTTTTGATGCTGTCCAGAAAAAAGAAAGACAACCACCTCACCCACCCCCCCAAAAAGCCCCCAATCATTGGCGCATGCTCCTACTTTCAGTTACATTCGAATTGGCAAGGAACTCTGGCGCAATTTCAAAGCTTCCACTTCTACTTCTTCCCCAACTCGAGTGCCTTGCTTCAGATCGAATTGTTGGAGCTTGACGATCTGAGCCGAAAACAGAATCAACTTCAGATGTATTATGGGGAGCTCCATTGCTCCCTCTGCTCCGAATATCCTCATCAATTTGTTCAACATTCCGGCGCTGTGAAATCTTTTTTAAGTCTTCACCAATATCTAGATCATCTTCGACCTTAGGACGACGATCCCCACCTGAATCAGGTTCAGGTTCCTGGGCAATGACTGGAGGGTGTGGCCTCTGTACCTCTTCTTGAACAAAAGCCCGGAAATTGTTCCTTGATGGCTTCACTTTTGTACAAAATACTTCCAGAAAATTATTTAAACAACCGCGATTATAAACATTGAGCCTGTTATCAGACCTGTACCTGAAGTTTTCATAGGTGGTCTGCAAAACAAGGTATATAATAACCAACGCGATGAAGATATTCTTGAAACATGACAACTCTTGAGAATCAAATTTCCAGATAAAAAACCAATATTATTATAAGCTAAGTGGATATAGAACATGGTTCTATTTGGCCACTCAAGACACCACCCAGGAGATATATTGTGTGTATCTTCCATAACACGAAAATCAATTAGTAGAAATCTTTTCACATCTGGGTACAAGTGAATCAGGCTTAAACTATCTTTGGAGTTTTGGGAAGAAAATAGAGAACCAACCTTCTGAAAATTTAAAAATTATCACTCGTTTGGGAAATGAAAAGTATGAGGGAAAAAAATGAGTTTCTCAAACTTTCTTACTTCTCCATCATTAAGGCTAGATTTTTTGCTACCTTCAAAAACAACCATTGACTCTACTAAAAAAAAAAAAAAATTGAGTATTTTTATGCCCAATTATACTTCATGATTTTGTCTGTCCATCCAACATGAACTGGCACATGGATCATAGAAGAAAATAAATTGAACTGCTGGCCTTTCTACAAATAAGGTGCCTGGTAGATTAAGAAGTTCACAATCTTATGGCATATTAAGAAATTTTTTTTTCTTTCAATAAAGTGATTCAAATTAATTCCATCAAGTACAATTTTACTAATATGTGTCTACGTGTGGGCATACATACATATAAATATGTGTCTGCAGGTGCAATCAACAATGAGAAAAACAAGATATTAGAATCAGAAATGTAAAAGACATCGACTGACCTGATTTGTGCCAATAAGGTACAAATGAAAGCCAGTTAGTCCACCAACAAACCACAATGAGATAAAACAATATGCCATTAGTATGACAGATGCAGGGGATTCTTTCATTGCCTTCCAAACTGTCCCATCATAACGATCCATCAGAACCTTGATGTAAAACGCTGAGATGGAAAACACATAGATACATAGTATGGTTGCCGACGACACAAACAGAAAAAAGAAACGGTAGTTCCTCTGCGCATTGGAAAAAGCCAAAAATAAATTAATAAATAACAAGAAAACAAACATGTAACAAGCCAATTATGAAGGAAACAAGTATCATAAAATCAATAACATGGTCAATGTCAACTATCATACCTCTCCAATACATTGGCCTACCCAAGGGCAATGGTGATCAAAACGTTCAATACAATTGTTGCAAATGGAGCAATGCGAGCAACGAGGAGGCCGATACAGCATGCAAGTGTCACAATACTTTATCCTTACAGGAAGGCCATTGACCATTACTTCTTTTGATCGAGGGAACTGAAGGCTTGGTGTTTGTCGTCCCCCAATATCAACAGATACTGAAGAGTCATATCGTATCTCTTCCTCTGGTGGATGTAAATTCCTCGGAACAATGCCCGGATCACGAGAAGAAGTAAGAAAGAGAAGAATCAATACCTAAAGATATAAACAATAGAATTATATTCCATCAAGCCCTAGGAGATCAGAAAAGAAGATTAAAGAAGAAAACCAATATCTTACTAAGGAGTTTTGCACAAAAATGTTGGTTGAATTAGACAAAACAATATTGTTGGAAAGCATGAAAAACATCTCATAATATCTTGATTGTATCTTAAAGTAATTTAGAGTATCTTAGATTATCTTTTAAGATTGGTTTCCAAATATTTGTATATTTCATGATTTATTTCCTTATTTAATTAGAATTTGAAGTCTCATAATAGTATAAAAAGGGATTGGAACTTTGTAGTTTGTATCATATCATAACACATCCTTCATATGCAATCAAAATCACTTTCAGATTATTTGGTTTTTATTCTTTATTTTCTTCCTTCACTACATAAATCCCTATAATTTTTAACATGTTATCAAAGAGGAACCATCTTCCATGACCTCTCCTATCATTATTCACTTCCTGAGTTCCCTAAGATTTTGAGCTTTACTCATAAGGCAAAGTTTGAATTTTGGGGGGGTGATAGTAGAAAAGTTGACAAATAAGTCATCCTTACTGCCACTCTACAAAACCACATAAGACTTTCACCTCAAATGACTCCTAGTTCAATTCTTTCAAAGTCATTAGATCCGTTCAATAATCTCCCCCCTTCTTCCCTCGATCCCAAAGGGCAATTACAACCAATTCAGTTACGTTTTCATGTTCCAATTGAACACTTTCCTTTTTTAATTATTCTCATAGGAGAAGATTATTCTTTTTACCAAACATACGTGAATCCAATCATGATCTTAAAATAAGAACAAGAAATTTTATCATGGTATAGAGAAGAATCATCTTTCGTGACCCATCTCATCACTATTCAATTGCCGAGTTTCCTAAGATCAAGAGACTCAAAAGGAAGAGTTCAGGATTTTTTGGAGTGACAGCGGAAAAGTTGACAAATAAGTCGCCCGTACTGCCATTCTACTAAACCACATGAGACTTTCACCTCATACGACTCCTTGTTCAATTCTTTCTAAGTCATTTGATCCATTCAATAATCTCCCCGCTTCTTCCCCTCTATCCCAAAGAGCTACTAGGACCACTTCAATCATGTTTTCACGTTCCAATTGAAGACTTTCCATTTTTAATTATTCTAAAACGAGAAGATTATTTTTTTATCAAACATATTGTTGAGATATATAAAATCATTAATGTAGTCTCACCCACTAGCTTAAGTTTTTTGGTTGAATTGGTTCTTTACATGGTATCAAAGCCTTGGTGTACCGGGTTCAATCCTCACCGCCCCCCACTTTCTTTCTAGTAGAATTTCTTTCTTCGCACAGGTAGGTGGGCCTGTGCATTGTCCACCCTTCAAGCTCAATGAACTCTCGTGTGAAGGGACGTGTCGAGATATATAAAACCATTAATGTAGTCTTACTCACTAGCTTAAGCTTTTGGGTTGAATTGGTTCTTTCACATATGAAGACCCAATCACGATTTTTATAATAAGAACAAGAAATCTTTCCGACTAATCCTTAAGCCCCCATTCGTTGAGAATCAAAAAGATCCTATTCAATCAAGTTTGAATTTGTTCGTTTGGAATCTACTGCATTTTTATTCTTTTTTTTTTTTTTAACTTCCATCATTCCTTAAGTCCCACAGGTTTAATTCTATAGAAAGTGACCCACTTTCTCATTGAGTGCAAGGTATGAAATAAATCAGATTGATTTTCAATAAAAAAATAATAATGTGGTAAATCTTCAATTTTTTTCCTCTTTCTGTATCCCTATATCGTAGGTATAGGGTTTGAATCAATATAGAACCCTTTCTTTTGTATTTGTACAAAGCAATATTATTACATTCTAATTGCTTCCCAATATCTCCCAAACAATCTCCTTAATAGGATCCTAAATTGACAAGTTAGTATGAGCTTATCCATGAGGTTATGCACCATTCAAATAGGAATCCATTTTTTGAAAGATCGTGGCTTTCTTGCTTTGATGGGTCTTAGAGATCCCTTTGATGACCTATATTATGTTGAAGGAATGTCTATATGATCTGATTGATTGCGTAAAGCGCACGGTAGCAACAGATTCACTGTGTGACTATTTTCTTTCTTCAAATTACCTGTCTCTTCTGTCCTGTTTTCCTTCTGACACCCTTTCTATCTCCACCATGCTACGATCAAACGCTCCTTTCCAAACCGGCTATTCTCGATGGTTTTAGGCTAATCCAACCTCATCTTGCTTTCTAATGACTTTTTCGGTGAATTATTTCTACTACTGAGACATGCGGTGATGAAATAGCAATGACTTCACTTAGAATACTAACATTTATGTTAAAATATTAGCATTTAAGTTAGAAAGTATAGTCAATTATACTTATGCTGATTAAATTATAATAATCAATTAGTGATTATTAGGCTACATATTAGGATTTTTGCCAACTAAGGTTACTATTTAATTGATTGTAACACAATTAATTAATACCAAAACATGTGTAGCCTAACCAAGGTGGTTAATAGTGGCACTTTGCACTACTATAGTGATACTAGAGTGAGTCACGCAACCTCTCAACAATAATAAGCTCAGCGTGTTAGGTTTTTTGGGCAGCCATGGTTGCCCCACTATAGTGTCGTCACGACCGCAACTTTGATCAAGGGTAAAAACCCCTCCACATTTCCCTCCTTTTCAATCATCTTCCACCTAATTTTTGGAGTGGTCAGAAGCATTTTAGAGTTGGAAACCTTCACCTTCAACCAAAATCATTTGGCTCCCCCTCATGTTTCATCATCTTCCTTTTTTTTGTTATTATTGACATGTAATTTATGCCTTAGATTGATGGTGAGTGTGTATAGACCATGGTTGTTGAATCACAATATATATCGTGAATCGTTCAACTGCTTTTTTATCGTGAATTTGTATCAAATGGTAAGATTCAGAAACATAATGAAAAGTGATTTAAAAGTATATGATGAAGTTGTTCTCTGTTTTCCTGAACATAGGAACTGAAAGTCTCTGTTGAAGAGTTTTCTTAGCAAATCTCTGTTCCCAAATGTCCTAAACATAGTTTGAATGTTTTAAGTTGTTCTCTTGCACAAGTCTCTGATTAGAGTTTTCTTTTTTAAACATATTCATTTGTATTAACTTGAATGACTTTCCAGATTCATATTAATTTGAATTTGAACGTCTCTGTTTTCCTAATCTTAAGCGACTTTCCAAATTCGTATTAATTTAACTTTTGAATCAAATTGGATTGGATTCTCCATAGTTGTCTTGATACGGTCGGTCTTTCACAAGGAGGTCAGCCATTCGAGGGGAGGGTATATTCCCATAGGAATAAACCAAGTGTAAGTCAAAAACACATGGAGAAATAGTTTAGTCACTTTTGTAGGCAATTAAGGAGTGAAAGAGTACAAATGTATAAATGGAGGAGTTAGCCAGGGTACTTTTATGATATTTTTTCTAGATTGAGTTGAATATCAGACAGAAGAAAACTACTCACTTGTGAAGAGTCAAAGCCCTTGTAATAACTCTTAAAGAAGTAATAAAGAAGTGTTCTTTCCGTGCTTTTGCACTTTCCTTGCATCGTTTCTCTGTTTATTGTGCATTCCTATAATCTCCATTATCACGGCCATAACATGTTTCAATTTCTAAATCTGAAATTGAAAATCTTGAATCACAACTCATGGCCAATTCTGATAGATGTCTCTGATTTGTATCGTTCAACCTTCGTATCAAACCGTATCGCAAGATACATGGCCAATTCTGATAGATGTCTCTGATTTGTATCGTTCAACCTTCGTATCAAACCGTATCGCACGATACAAATTGCGTATCTTGCGATACTAACGACTATGATATAGACTACAACTTTTGATTATTAATAATAAATGTATTTAATTTTCAGTTATTTTTTATTTGTCAGCATTTATATGAGTATAAATTATTTATCTCATATCCATAATGTTCGATATGGTGGCCATCCCACTATAGCGGTTAAGTCGGCCACTCTGCGTCGCTATACAGGATTGATACCTATGAGCCTAATACACAATTTCTCTCAATAATTCTCTCTTCAAACACGTGATGTTCTCACCAAACTGTTATCAACTTATGAGCTTAAAAGGAAGGGTAGGAAGCACAACAAAAAGAGATATAAATAGAGATCGGATAGGAATATTTAGATGAGCCAGTAGCAAGCAAGTTCTGTATAACATAAGATAACCTAACTATGGGGCATACAAAATAATAAGTTTTGGGTTCATACGTGTAAAAAAATTGAATGACAAAGAAAGATAAAAATTAATAGAACTTACATAAATATTAAAGAGAACTGCCACCACCAAAATAGCATATCCTGCATTATATGAAGAAAATTCATGCCGAAGATGCCTTGCTACAAATACACAAAAGACGATAACTGGGACAATAATCAGCAACAAGGTGATAAGCAGTGACCTAGCATCAGGCCCAAATATCAACCTTCCACCAAATAGGAATTTCTGTATAAGATTAGAAGAAAAGTTTTAAGTTAAATAAGATTTTATGACAGAAAATAATTCATTAAAAAATAAAACTTCCGAATTTAGCTAGAAGTATGAACAAATTTAGTGAAATACTACATCATTCAAGAGGATAACATCAAAACTTTCAAACAAATTTATGTTTAAATAATAGGGTTTAGGCAGGGAAAGAAGAAAGAGAGAATACAGAGTTAGAGACTCTGAATAAGAGGATATTAGATTGATATAATGTACTATGATGTCTCACAAAATACCAACCCGATGATCCTATTTATTCAAATAGTTTGGTCAAGTACTAGTGTAGTATTACTAGTTCAAGCCCAAGCCAATAAAACAACAAAACTACTAACCCTAATTAAATAAGGTAATAAATAAGGAAACATAATAAAATTAGGAGACAATGCATAAGATTGTTGTCTAGGAAACAAAACACGAATGATTCCACAATATATTCCAAAGATATTTTAATATTATAAAATATTTTAAGATGCACAGAAAGTATTCTAAGATATTTCTTAGATATTCTAACAATTTTCAACAAAAGCTGCAAAGTATTACTATTTTCCATTTAACTTTCTTAAGAGGGAATTTTCATTATTTTCCTTATAAAAGAAATTTTATTAAAAAGAAAAAGAAAGTACACTAGTGGAGAATAAGGAATCCTCCTAACTCAAACAGACTCAACACAACGATTTGAACTGGCTTATACATGTAATAGAACCGTTCAATCCCTCTGCTTATCTGTAATAGAAGATCCCCTGAAGCAATCATGAGCTCAGTAAACAAGGAAAGCCATCAACACAATCCTATCCCGTAACAATTGACAATCGTCATGGTTTCTCTACAGTCTCAGTACGCTCAGAAAGAAGAAAGGATCCTTAGTAAATAACTTTTGTGTATGATCCAGTAGCCCGAGGTTGAGATCTAATCTTTGTCAGTATCCTCTCTTTATAATTTAGCATCTCTATATCACCGTCTGATTACATAGAGAAGCTTCAGAACTAGAATCTGTTCTACATTTGATTGGCTTGTTTTCATGCTCATTTGAATAACTAGTAGGATTTGGACTTAGACTCATCTCGAGTGTTTTCTATTAAACCCTATTTTGAGTGTCCAACTTATTCTCCTATTGGAGATATATACCATTTTTGGGCCTCCACTTAACAACTTAAACTTTTGGGAGAGTTGGCTTTTGTCCTTGACAAGGTATGAAAGCCTTTACGAAAGTCGTCAACCTTCGATCCTCATTGCCCCCATTGTACATAATTAAATTAAATTTCAGTATAAGGTAAAGTGGGTGAGTGCTTTATCTACACTTCAACTCCGAAAGGGCTCTTGCCACCAAATAATGTCAGTGGTAAGACTCCCTTAGCAGCTAGTTATAAAATAGAAAATGAATTGCATAACTCAATAAAAGATGAGCCACTTTATTTTCAAGGCCTCCAATATTATGGACAACATATCTGATGTTCAGCAGATGGAGCATAGCAAGCACCATACTATGCCATGCGTCAATTGTGCAACATTAATTACCCAACCAACAACACCAGCAAACATCACTAGCAATTGTCAATCTCCAATAAAATCACTAGATTATTACCTTATGCAAGCAAGAAAGACCATAATATACAAGACAATTGAGCATTGTGTTTTTTCTCCCCAATAGAAAAATAAAATAAAAATAAAAATAAAAATAACCAAGACAGTTTCTCATAAACCAATGAAGCCTTGTCACATAGTTTCAGCATATCATCAAAAGCCATTGCAGTGCACATAGAAGATTCCCCATGCTCTAACCCATTAATGCACCCTAAGCCTTAAGCAAACTTCCTTTTTATCCTTTTGTAGTTTAATATACCAAAAATCTCTTGACATCATACAGAACATAGCATGGACCTTTCTATGCTGCCATAGTGTTCCATATGTTAAGGCAATATAATCAAAGCAAAAACCAAATCCACACCATTTTTCATTCATTCAATAATCATTCTCAAACTTTTTCAGGTTATCTTTAATCAGAGAGGAGTTTCACCAAGAGAAACATAAAATCCTCCATGATAGCTTAAGTAACACTACCTCAAGCACAGAATCACATAAAATACATCTGACACGAATGCCATCCTCATTCAATATAAATCATGAACAAAAAAAATGAAGAATCCAGTGATTGGTAATCCTATCTGCCTAACACAAGTTTGGTTGTATATAAAAACTATCATCAAAAGATGCATGCAGAAATTGATCTCAAGCTCAAACTCATGATACTTCTTATCTTTATTCAATTCCATAAACCAAAACTAAACACACACCTTAAGAAGATGGTTTAGCAAAACAAGAAGAAACTGTCAGATTATATGTATTTATTAATCATTTATCCATAAGACAAAGCTGCTCACCAAGTTGAAGGTAACAATTCAAATGAATTAAGACAACACAAGACTCACACATCTTTCCCCTATAACAAAGTCAAACTAGAAAACTAACTGCAGCCAAGACAAGTAATTAATCAGGGAGATGGTATAAAGTCAAATAATCATATAATAATCATATTAAATTCTTCTTCCAACTGATTCCAATGAACCACAATCAAGGCTTTATCAGTTACTGACAAAGCCAAAGCTTCCTCAAACAAACAAATACAAAAAAACGGTCACAGAAGACAAATGAAGCAGCTCATTCATAATTGCACAATTCCCAAAGCACATTACACAGTTCCTGAATTTTGAAACTAAACTCCCAAAGCCCAAGTTCAATTTTTTTTTCTCTCTCTTGACTATCATTTTCAACATTCAAGCAAAAACAAAAAAACAGCACTAGAAATTTAAAACCCAGAATTATTAGCTTAAGCACCTTCAATAAATAAATAAATAAATCAATCAAATAAACCAAATCACAGTTTCCCCAACTAACACAAGAAATCTAGAGCATACCCATATGGCATATCAAGCACTTAAAAGCAAAATTCATGAAGAACCACGATAGAAAAATAAATAAATAAAAAAGCAAAGAAAAATGAAAGAACATTACGTTACTTCCTTTCCATGCCTCGTACACGCGCTTCCCTGCCATGAAGAAGAAGAAGAAGAAGCTCTGCTGCAAACTCTTCCTCAAAACACTATGCAAATTCAAAACATGCAAGTTCTTCTTATCTCACCAACGCATTCAGCCACTCACAAAACCCCCCCACTACTGAATGGTACTTCGATTCAGCGATTCAGGGTTCAAAATCTGAGGCTTCACTGTATATAACGATATGGGTTTCTCTTGGAATGTGATAAAAACGCTTCTATAAGAAATAGAGAGAGAGAGAGAGAGAGAGAGAGAGAGAGAGAGAATGGGTGTGATTCAAAGATGGCGATTTCTGGGTTTGGAATTTGAAAGTTTGGTTTTTTGGGAAAACGAAACAAGAATTAGAAAAAAAAAAGTGAAAACACTATTGAAGAAGGAAGAGAAAGAAGAGAAGAGGGTGTTTTGTGTTGAGACTTTGAATTGAACCTCTTCTTCTCTCAAGTGAAATTCTGATATTCACCACCTGAAAGAAACAAGCGTTACCCTTTTTTTTTTTATGAGTTTAATAATTTTTCTAATTTTTTTACCATTTATTACAATTAATTGAAACTATGTTGGGGCCCACTCTGAGGTGGCATAATCCCAACGGTTATGATAGAGATAGTCCATTTTCTCTCTCTATTAATAGTTCACTCTGGAGTTTAGAGAGAAAGAGAGGCTCAAAAGGTTGAATTGAGAAGTAACTGAAAAAAAAAATGAAAAAATGAAATAAATGAACTTAGCAAAAGAGTGGTCTATGGCATGAACATCAGAGAGATACGTTGAGTTTTACTACATTTATTCCAACCTTTTCTCTCTCTTGCAAAATAGTATTATTGTAATGTTGTTCCTTTTTTTTTAAAGTAAACTAATAAATATTCCATTCCCAACTTGTTAAATTAAACCATCGCAAATTCCTAGGCATTCACTTACCATATTCAGCTTCTTCTTTTTTAATGTAAATGATTTTTTTATTTTATTTTTCTATTAATTCATCACCTATCTAATTAATTGGATTTGAATTGGGCATGATTACAACAATTATAATTCATCACTTACCTTTAAAACCTCAACATATTTTTAATGGGTAGATTCTAAGGCAATCTCACTAGAACTGTAAAGAGTTTACATATTCCGCAATGAAAAACAACAACAAATTTTTTATTTCTCACCATCATGAATGTGTATCTTATATGAATAGGTACTCTTATTTTAACTTTTATATGATATCAGAGCCGTGCTCATGACCATAAGCCACGTGAGGTTGCTCTCTATTAGATATTCAAAAAGTGTTTTGAATTCTACAATTTTATGAACTCAAGTTTTTTAAAAATTATGTTTTTTTTTTCAAAAATCAATTCTTTTATGAGAAAAAAAGTTCCACTTTTAATGGTAAAACCACCACCTTATGGGGTGGGGACAAAGGTGGCAGCCAAGAGGGCTTTTAGGGAAAGGGTGGTTCGGGCAAGCCTAATTGGATTAGGGATGGCTGAAACCATGGTGGTTAAGACCACTATACCCTAGTTGTGGCCTAAGTGAGGCAAGGCTACCCCTATTACATAATAAAGTTTGAATTTTTGTTTATAATTTTGACTAATCATCAAGTGTTGATGTTTTGCTTGTAGGTGATTCAATAGTTTTAGGATTTACAAAGCGTTTGCTTGCTTGTTTCTAAGATTTCTTGTAATTACATTAAAATAAGGATGATCATGGAGCCTTGTCTGTATGATTTAAAATTTAAATTTTTCTTTTAATTTCCTTTGGTTAAATGAGGTTATTTTGCCCCGATTTAAATTCCATGGCCGATTTAAATTCCAGCCGAGACTATACAACCCAAAATCATCAGCCGAGACTATACACATAGGGCAATGATTTCGGGTTGTTGCATGGTGATGCGACACTAAGTGACAAAAATATGTCAACCTGATGATCTAAGAGAAAATATATAGATGTTGTTGACTAGATCAACCGACTAGATAAGTTAGTTTTGCAGCCTCAGCGAAAAATAATCACGCTAGTCATTCTTTTATCCTATTATGGATGTCCTTGAAAAAGATAACCTAAATCGATCATAGAGGGTTATTGATTTTAGAAAAATAATGGGAGGGTCATTTACATATTTAAAAATCTTAGCAAATAGTTTTTTTTTAATTCATGAAATACTTGTATAGTATGTCTTTATGTTTCAGCAATTTGAGTCATGACCGATAATTTTATTCTGCATTTTGTTTTGGACCCAATAAGTTAACTGGACCTAACTTTAAGAATTGATATCGGAATGTGAAAATTATTCTGCACTTCAAGAAGGTAGCTTATGTCTTAGAATATCTTATTCTTGTTGCTCCTGTCAAAAGGTTGGATGGATATACTTAGTATGATTGGGAAGCCCATAGGTAGCACCATGCGGACAATGAGCAAGCAATTTGCACATTGTTGGCGTCAATGTCCCCGAGGCTCCAACATCAGCATGAGCATATGGATGTTTCCTCCATCATCGTGCATCTGCAAGAACTTTATGATAAGCAAGGGAGGGTTGAGGGTTGTGAGACTTGCAAGTAGCTGTTTGAGGGCATGGCAGTTGAACCGCATGTCCTTAAGATTATAGGGCTGATAAAGAAGTTGTATTCTCTGAGCTTCATCATGAATCGTAAGTTGAGTGTTGACTTGGTCTTGCCATCGTTGTCACATTTGTATAATGAGTTTGTGGTCAATTATTATATGAATAAGGTAAAGTATAACACCTCGCATAGTTAAAATACATATTAATAATTAAATTAAGGGTTAGAGAGGATGTTTAGTGAAAATCCTAAGTTTTGGGTCAAAATACATATGAAGGGTAAAACGGTAAATCAACAAATACGTAACCTAAATTGCAAAATGATAGAATTAGGCCTCAAATGATGAAAATAATACTGAAGATGGATTCGGAACGAAAAATTGAGTGGTTAGACAAGTTTCTGGAAAATTGATGAATAATATTTTTACCGGATGAAATATTGTTGTACAGTTACACTGAAAAACGTTCAAAGTGAGATTAGTACTCTAGGATTGAATATATGTTAGAAAAGGTACTTAGAACCAAGAAATGTGATTATTGGTACAATTTGATGGATTTTAGGATTTTTTGGGAAACATGCTAACGGTTCACAAATAGGGATAAAACAATAATTTCACCAAATTATCGGAAAACTCTGGATTCATCTGTTCAAGGATAATTAAAGGATTTTGGTGAATGTTAAAATTTTTATTTAATGGATAGTTCATGAATTAATTGGAGATTAGAGTGTTAAGTGAATGATTTAAAATGAGTGAGATGACATGTGAGACCCACCCCACTTAAACTCACTTAAGACCACATGATCTTGCACTATTCACTCATCTTCCTCACCTCTCTCTCTCCAAAAGCCGAGGCCTCCATCTTTAAAGAGGGCAAAAATTTTGCTTCTATTCCTTTGATCCAAACACTTAACAATCTACATGAAACTTCATCTAATGAACAACTCTCATGTTGTGTATTTCTCTTGAAAATCATTGTGTGAGGAGATCCTTGGCTCTCATTATGGACGAAATTGAAGCTTGGTGTGGCCATTAATGGAGGTTGGTCTTGCTTGAAAGCTAGTATATCACTCCCTTGGACCTTAGGAAGCCATTAGCGGTAAGTAATTCTATTCTTATTGAGTTTTGATTGAGATAATAAAATTTATGACCAAAGAGCATGTGTGGGTTGATTGATGTGGTTGGGGTTCTTTAATGGTAGTGTCCATCTGGAATTAAATGCTCAAAATGATGATTAATGATGATTGAACCCATAAAAATTCCTGTGGAAAAGTTTAATAACTTAGTAAAATTTTTGGGTGGAAAGTGTATGGAAATTGAATGAACTCATGAATGTTGAAGTTGAAAGTGAGTTGTGGGTTATTAAGAATAGTTAATTACATGATGTATGATGCATTGAATGCTTGAGAACCAATTGAGAATCCCTTGGCCCTTGGGTGTTCAAGGTTTGGCCATATAGGGCAATTATGAGTACAATTATGCAAGATTGTGTAATTGAGTTGTTGGTGGTTTTAACCATTGGTAATATGGTTGTATGAGAGTTTTATGCATGTGGATTGAGAGAAAATTCCTTGGAGTTCCATACTCGCATGCCACGACCTTATAGGTGATTGTAGGGAAAAATTGTGCAAGTTTGTGTTTGGCTTGATGAGTTGATTGGTCGGTGTTTGAATCAACTAATGTAGACCTAAGTATGCACCTTGAACCTTGAAAATGCAAGAAAATTTCCTAGCCCCTCGGATGCTTCACATTCGGCCATATAGGGTAATTTGGAGGAAAATTACGCTAAGTTAGGATTTAATGTAATTGTGGGTTGATATGGTGTTATAGGTGGCTAAGGAAGCTATAAGGATGGTTGAATAAAATTAACAACAAGAATTGAGTATTATGGCCATAATGGACGAAGCATTAGTGATATGTGGGAGGTGGTTTTGTGTTGTTTTAATTGTGATTTGTTGGAACAGTTGATTGATGATCTTGCGAGTGTAATCATTGTAAGTTGCCTCCCTTGGATACAATAGTAGAAGATTGAAGCTTGGAGTTTGTGGATTGCCTTTAGTATTTGTCCAAAAGGATTTTGTTAAGTAATTACTTACTTGTTTGTGTGATTAGTTGGATAACTAATTGAGTTATCATGTGACACTTGGTAATTGTTGAAATGACTATTTGTTGTAGGCATTTCTTGTGAAAGTTGAAGCTTGAGGTAACTTGTGATTGAAGCTACCTAGCTTGGGAGCTTCTAACAGGTAATCCCTTGGTACTGAGGTTAATTCACGTGTGTGCTCCACATGCTCAGTGGGATAGTGGTTGAAAGTTGTTGGATGCAATAATATGTGCTATAATATGATCATGCATTGTGTATGTTGTTTAGTATATATATGAGTTTATACTTGTATCTCTCGCCAGTAGATAAACTGTCGTATTTGCCGTAGAGGACTTCCACTGGAGAGGCCTCCGTAGGGAGTTTAATGCCGAAGCAGTAACCAATTAGCTAAACAGAAAGAAGAACGAACACAAGGATTGCGAGAAAATACTATTTCTCTTTTCTTAATTTTATTTAACCAAAAACAACCTGATAATAATAGAGTTCTCTAAGACTTAAATAGGCAAAATAAAATAACAAAAAAATAAATAGCTATAATCATGCGCAATCGAAGGAGATAACGCACAATCAACGCATACTCAAACATAATCTAAAAATAACAAAAAGGGAAACAATTAACAATTGTTGAAAAGCCCTAAACTATGGAATAAATTATAGAAAAGCCCAATCCAAGTCAGTCAGCTCGGGTGCATCATCCTCCCCCGCTAGGAAAAGATTCGCCCTCGAATCAGCTTCGTCTTCATTGATATCAACTTCTTCAGGTTGTAACCCAGGTGGCAACTCTTCTGGTACAATACCACCAAATTC